TCGTTTTTTGGTGGCTAACTTGCTTATTAATCAGAAACCTCTCATTTTTAACTTGCTTTTTGTGCAGTTCTTGGAGAGGGAAGCCATCTTTGCTCTTTTAACTGAAAAACACGCTGGCCATTTCTGTTGCTAAGAACATGCTGGCCTTTGCCTGCAGAAAGTCAGACATTCTTCTTTTTCATTGATTATTGATGCACTGCTTCTGATGGGCCATGTTGAGTTGCAGACTTTCTGGGTGGTTGAGCCTACGGAAGAAAACTTAATTAAATACGAGAACTGGATATTGAAAGGATCACAGTATGAAGCATTTTTTGGTGATCTTGTCGATAGGTGCGCGCGAATCGATCTCTTCGAGGGTTATACATTTATCATTCCTGCAGGTAAGAAACACTAACTGTTGAATTTAATATTTCTATTGAATTTGTTAGATATTTGCAACTCAACGCGGTGCTGCAAGATGTTCGACAGATTTTTGATAAGAGAGGAAGAGCAGTTTTGGTAACCAAATTTTTTTTAATAATAGCCTTTAATCCCTTTTTTTTAATAAAAAGGTGGGCTAATTGCAGGCTGGATACATGCTGTTTACACTCCCGAGGATAGCATTGTTTTTGGTGGTAATTTCCTACACAGTTATTCCATTCCAATGCAAATTCGAATCAGTAAATCGGAAGACACTTTGATGGTATACAGAACTTTTTTATTTTTTTGTTATTATTCTTAAATATTGCACTAACTGAAACTTTTCACTTCTTCCACTTCCTTCTCAAATATCTCGAATGTTTAGAGTCTGTGAATACAGCGGGCAAAGGGCCGTAATCAGTAGAAAACCATCAGCTTCATAGACAGAGTTTCAGAATATGAGTCTCAATAGCCGTTCTGAATTCTGAATCATACATCTGACGATACCAGGAAAAGTGATTTAGCTTACCTACCCCGTTTAACTGATTGTTCAATTGCAGATTAAGCATAAGTATCGCTACCCGAGATATATGGAGATGCTATGGTATTTGGTGGCAGACATTGTCAAGAAAGCGACTGGCTTAACCTATGATACCAAGCCGAAAGAGGACGAGAAGGTAGAGCCCATTGAATTTTTATCCTTCTCTCGGGAATTTGTGTTCTGTCAGCATATGTATGATTGTGAACGAATTTGTTTGTTTGCTAAGCCCATAGACAGTTTCTCCTAAATTTTATATAACTTTTTATGCGTC